AAGGGGGCTGCAGAAGAAAGGAAATGACTCATGGGTTAAACAACCTTGTATAGGGGGAAGAACTCTGTGTCTGCAGCCAGAAGACCTAGGCTTGAGCACCTAGCCTTGGTGCCTATTAGCTGTGTGGTCGAGCAAGTCACTGAGTGCAGGTTTCTTTTATCTGTAAAATGAGGGTAGTAATTATTACATGTCTCACACGGCTGTTGGGAGGCTCAAATGAGGTGGTGCATGCAGAGTGCTTTTATAACCATAAAATGCAATGTAAATGTAAGCCATCTTCCCTGGGCCCTACTGGGAGGGCTTATAACTGGATGAGTTGGTTTGAAGGATGAGTACAGGACCTGCACCTGGGATTTTATTGATAAGATGAGGAAACACCCCTTACCAATGCAGGTCTGCACTTTTTCTACAACATTAATTCTAGAGTAGCAGTAATGTCATACTCCCATAGAAATGAGGGCCACTAATCCATATATGAGGATCCCCGCTGGCCACATAGTGATTTAAGTTGTTTGTTTGTTTGTTTTTTAATTTAAACCTGACTTTATTTGCATAAAAAGTGTTTTATAATTATATAGTTCCTGGGTTTACTTGACAGGTACACTCCCAGGTATTTCATACTATCTATAGTTATTTTTTTAATTCGTTTTAAACTTAAATACATAACAACAAAAAAAGAACGTTTCCATGTACACAGTACAACATAAAAAGAGAAATCACTATAAAACCATGAATTTATATTTCACACGGTTTACTTTTTTTTAAGTGACTTAGTTTTAAAATGTAATGATATTTTGTTGCATTTTTATTTAATATTTTGTAATTACATTTTAGGGCTAGATGGCAGCTAGAGCATCAATCCTGGAGTCAGGAAAACCTGAGTTCGAATCCAACCTCAGACACTTCCTAGCTGTATGACCCTGGGCAAGTCCCTTAACCCTGTTTGCCTCAGTTTTCTCATCTGTAAAATGAACTGGAAAAGGAAATGGCAAACCACTCCAATATCTTTGGCAAGAAAACCCCAAATGGGGTCAGTTAACTGCAGTGACTGAACAATAACAAAAACACTTACATTTCAATCTAGTTCAGGTTGCACTAGGGAGTCCTGAGGGGCTGTATGATTTCTACCTCTGGCCTAGAGCTCTGAGAAGTTAAGTACCTTGCTAAGATTACACAGCTAGGATGTGTCAGAGACAGAACCTGAACCCAAGTCTTCCTAGTTCTGAGTACATGGTTCTTCAAAGAGAATTTGCTTGACCTGGCAGACCCAGGGGTGCTCTTTGGATGATGAGTTCTTAGTTGAATTTCTCCACGAGGTTGTCAGGAATGGGTCCAGAGAGCTGGGAAGCTAGATCTGCCGTAGCAGATCTTCACCATCGATACTGTGGAGTCAGCATAGCTTATCTCCGTGCGCATTCTCCAAAAGTTCTGAAAAGCTTCCCTGGTCTCTTGGACTTCCCGTGACTGCCAGCTGTGCATGAGTGAGTTGGGTGACATGGTATAGAAATGGCAGCTGTAGACGTCTTTACTTCACTTTTCCAAGGATCCCTGATTGGCGCCGTTTTTTAAAACCATCCCTTCTCTCAGTTGAGAAATGAGCGGGTAGAGTTTGTGGGAGGATGGTGTGAGGAAGCGTGGTCTATGAAAGGGCTCTCCGTCTCCAAAGATCCACTGTCACTGACAGCCCCCCTTGCTTCTCTGCTTGCTAGTGATTTTACTTAGGCCCTGCTGAGCTTGGCTACACTCTGTGTTCCCACAAGAACTTCCCCTGTGAAAACTAAATCTAGATTTTCCCAGGAGGAAAAATAACTTAGAAAATGCTTTTAGTACCTGCTTGGGAGTTGTTGTTATCATGGCAAAGCCCAGTGTTTGGGCCTGAGTCTTTGGCCACAGGACTGCTGGCGTCTGTTGCCAGTACCAACAGCATTTCCCCACTGACCAAAGGTAAATTACTTAACTCTTCAGGGCCTTAGTTCTCTCTGTGCCGAGTGGAGACTGAAGATTGTTTGAAAAACACATCTAGCTCTCCAGAGGAAAAGTGATTCTTGTTTGTTGGGGACTCAAAGCAGTTAGTACTAGGAACATTGTGCCTGAGAAATGTTTTGGTTCAATTTGATTCAACAGACTTTTCTTGGATGGCTAATACATTCCAAGACTGTCTGCTAAACTGTGTGGAGGGGATACAGAGATGGGGAAATCACAGTGCCTGCCCTCAAAGAGTTTGCAGAGTAGTTTTGAGATAGTGGGATACAACTGTAACACAAGGCAGGATGTGATCAGTGCCGTGAGAGAGGTACAAAGTCTGTGATAGACCTCTCTCTCTCTCTCTCTCTCTCTCTCTCTCTCTCTCTCTCTCACTCTCTCAGCTGAAGAACTAGAATGGAAAGTGCTCTATTCCAAATCACACTTGGATGAAATCATAGCCTGTACCCTTGGCTACCTATTTAGCCTATGGATATTCTTCTCAGAGACAGAACGTTGTAGATAGAGTCAGCAGGAAACAGTTGGCAGTGGTGGTGTGGAGGAGAAATGTGTCTGTCACTGGCTGGGCTTGCCTGACCTTCATCTTCAACTCGACATGGGAGTTAATCTTAGACACGGTTTAGCCAAGAAATACCCCATCATATTCAGATGCAATGTGGCATAGTAGGGAAAGGGCTGAACCAGCAGTCATAAGACACACCCCCTCCCATCAGAGGAGGGACTAGTGGTGGAAAGAATATTGACTTTGGATCAGCAGACTGTAGTTTGAACCCTAGTTTTGCTCCTTATTAGTGGTGGGGGCTTGAGCAAGTCACTTATATCTGTAAAATGAAGATAAGACCTATGGTGCTGACCTCAAGAAAATCTTATTGTGAAATTTTATTGTGAAAAATCCTAGAATTTCACCCCAGAAGGGCCTGTTAAAACTCTCTGTTTTAACTCTCTTATTTTACATATAAGGAAACTCAGGCCCATAGAAGTTAAGTAATTTGCCCGTTGGGGTCAAAAAGTGATTTAGAAGCAGGACAGGTACCTATCTTCTAGGCCAGTGCCCTTTCAATTCAATTTAAATTAAGTATATGAACATTTCTATGTGTAGTGGAAAGAGCATGGAAACCTGATTCTGAATACTTGGACTATTCCTCACAGGGTTGTTTTGGGGAAAGCATTTTGTAATGTCTAATGCGTTAAATGAATGCGAGCTATTAGTCTCGTAAACTGCAAAGATGGCAATAGCATCCCTCATTAAAGCAACTGAATTAGGAAATGCCTCACTTGGAATCCATTTGAGACTTTTTTTTTAAACTTCTTCCTTCTCTTCTGTCACCAGGTCATGTGGACCCAGGAGAGAGTGACTTAGAGACAGCTTTTAGGGAGACCCAGGAGGAAGCTGGCCTGGATGCCAGCCAGCTGAACATCATTGAAGGATTCAAGAGTGAGCTGAACTATGTAGTCAACAGCACGCCCAAAACAGTTATCTACTGGCTGGCCGAGGTGAAGGACTACAACTCGGAAATTCGGCTGAGCGGGGAGCACCAGGCTTACCGCTGGCTGAACCTGGAGGAGGCCTGCAAGCTGGCCCAGTTTAAGGATATGGTGACATGCCTCAGAGAAGGGTACCAGTTTCTCTGCTCCAACACACCTTGACCCCAAGAAGGGGAAGGTCTTTTGAGATCCCCAAGATTCAGCCTGCTGAGGTTCTCAGGTATCTCTTCTGAGATCAACCCCAACCCTGGTTAGATTATCCAGTCCTGCAGTATAGGGAAGCTGAAGGAACCAGTGAAATCAGGCTAAGCCTTTTAGGTCAGAGCAGACCTTGTGGTATTGAAATGAAAGGGTGGTATGGAAATATATAAAGCCAAATCTCTTTGCTCATGTATCTGAGGAATAAACTGTTAGAAACTCAGTTGTCATTCATTTTTTAGTAATTAAAAGTGTATTTTATTTTTTTTCAATGTTTAGGGTTTGTTAGCCTATGGTAGTGAGTACAGAGTTAGGGAAAGTTAAAGTAAAGTGTTCTTGGCATTGGCCACAGTACTCGTTAGAAAGCACCAGGCTGTGTGATCTTATTTTCTCCCATCAGGTCCTCCACCCACACTTCAGGATCCCTGAGGTCAGAGGGTCAAAACTTAGATAGACCCAGAAGACCCACAACCCAGAGGTCTGGACCTGAGTCTGTAGAATTCCAATCAGGCATCTTAGTATGTCCTCTTATTCTTTGATCCTCTGGTCAAGTTTGATTCCTTGGAGCCCAAGTGAAAGGTAGCCTGTCTCTGAGAATGAGAACATGCCTTCCACCCCCAAGAAAAGTACCAAGAAATGCAGTAAATATTCACATGCATGAGCCATTGGCTTCCGGGTTGTAATGGAAAATTTATTACATGTGGGGGTGGAATGCAGTGCCATGGAGACAGCTACACCTGGGTTGGCAGGTTCAAGACCCATAGGCCATTGAGCAAAAAGGAAGAACAGGTATCATTCAGGGTAAACATTTAGATGTTGTAGATCAGCCTGTGGTCCCTATTGTATTTTTGGCCACTATCTGTCATTCTATTAACCCAGCTCTGAAGATTGATATGAGCAAGTAGAGTCATGAATGTGGGGCATTTTCACAAGATACAGTTGACAAACGAACCCCTCAAGTTGTGTCCAAGCTAATGATATTGGTCATGGCCTAAATGGCCACTTTCTGAGCCACTGGGAACGTGCATTAAGTTACAAATTCCTTTGTGTCTGACTGAATAAACAAATACCCTTTAGGTAGGTCTGGCCTTAATCATAGAATAAAAGAATCACAAAAGTCAGATCTGGATAGGAGGTTAGAGATTACCTAGCTTAATCCCTTCATTTTATAGATAAAGGAAACTGAGGCCAGAAATACATCCTTCTTTTCCCTAGAAGTCTTCCCCATTGCCTTTCACAGAACCTGAAATTCTGTGCTTTGTCATTCTTTTGAGTCTTCAAGATTTTTTGGTTATTCAGACTCTACTCTTAGTGTACAGTTACTCTTGTGGAAGTGAACAACTTAAACATTTATCATTTATTAATAATTGATTTGGAGATTAGTTGACAGTCAAGGGGGGTGGGGGGTGGAGAGGAGGAGGCAGGGATGAGTGAACTCATGTCAGGGGTCGTATGACTCCAAAAGTGTGGTGCCCTAGATTAGAGAGGGAAGAGAGTGCCAAGACAAATTTTACCTTTGTCTCAATTTTGGCTCAGTCAGGACCAGCTTACTCTTTCCTTAACAAATATCCTTTTAGAGACCCCAGGAGACTAAGAAGTTCATTATTAGCTGGTTGCTCTGTGAATAGGAAGCTAAGAAGGTATTCCCCTCAAACTTCACTTGGTTAGACATCAACTCTCATCCGAGACCCTGAGCTGCTGATTCACCCACTATATTACTTCCTAGCTATCTTCATCCCATGCCACGGTACAGACGTCTTTCCCTTCCTGCCTCACCCAGTTTTCCAGCATCAGCTCTGAGAATAGTCATCCACACTACCATTTTAAGAAAGTTCATTTCAGTCATTTGCTCTATAACTCCAATCATCCTTGTGATTTCCCTAACCAAAATACCACCATTCCCCTATGTGTATTCTTTCCTTATTAGAATATAAATTCCTTGAGGGAAGAGTTTTTGTTTTGTTTTTTTGGTTTTTTTTTTTTTTTAAATATTTGTATCCCTGGAGGTTAATGTAGGGCCAGGCACATAGGAAATACTTAATACGTTTTTTCATTCATTCAGAGGAGAAGCTTGGCACCTTCCTTTCTTGTAGTGAATGAAAGCAACCCATACTCAGATGTCCCAGGCAAGGAAAATGCTGCTAGATTGAAGGCATAGTGCTCTAAGATGGTCCAGTAATTGTGGCATTGTTTTAAATGAATGTTCGGAGTCATCATTTGAGCAAAAAGAGGAAACTACTTATTGTCACATTTTCCTGCTAAGGCAGGGAAGAAATTTGAGCTATTCTGGACAGACCCAAGATACTGTCTCTCCTACCTCTCTACAATTTTTTGGACAATACTTGTCCATCTTTCTGAGGGAGAGCTATCCCAGAATCTTAGAGCCATAAGAGAGCTTATAGATCATTTAGCCCAGCTGTTTTGTTTTATAAGTGAGGACAGCAAGACTCAGAAAAATGAAGTCTTCGTTAAGAAGCGAGAGTCCTAGAACCACAGCTCCATTGACTGCTTAGGTATCCACAGAATTCTCAGACATGTCTCCTCCCTTCCTCAGTCCCTGGCATCAACTTCATAAACAAAGGATAGTTTAGTATTTTAATCAGATACTTAAGATATAGAAGGGACTTTAGAAGCTATAGAGTCCATGAGAAAACCTCCGCCAAGGTCATAGCTAGTAAGTGTCTGATATGGGACTTGAACCCAGGACTTGCTGACTCCAAGCTTAGTGTTCTCTCTACTGCCGTGCTACATGTGTCCTGCATTGATTGATTGTAAAAAGTGTCATGAATGAGTCTTGTGGAAGGTCAGCTGAATTATAATCCATTTCAACAAGAATTTATTAAGCTAAACATCTGATATGGCAGTTATTGAAAAGCTGAGGACATGAAGATTAAAAAAAAAAATTGAAACAAGGCTTGCCCTGAGGTAGAGGGATTGGAATGTAGAATATTGTATCTATTCGTAGTTATAATTGATGTGTTGGCTAGTTTTGCTGAACTGCTTTTTTTTTTCCTCTCTCCTTATAATCTTACTTCTGAGGAATGGCTTTCTAGGCAGGAAAACAGGGAGGAATATATTTGGAAATAAAGTACAAACAAGTTTTCAATAAAAATAAGAATATTTTAACAAATGAAAGAGTCTCTGCCTCCAAAGAGCTTATATTCTTTTGGAAAAAATTCTATGTACATAAAAAAATTAATTACAAAATATATATACAAAGAAATTTCCAGAGGGTGAACACAGGTCTAAGATGAAGACCAGGGCTAATAAATTCTAGAGTCTGTGATTTCTCTGTCTCCCAGGAGGAGGACATAGGTCTAAGGTGAAAGCAGAGATCTGATAAGCTGCAGGGCCTCTGCCTTCTCTCTCTCTCATTGCAGAGTCCAGGACAGGACTGGGCACAGAGCAGGCCCTTACAAGATGCAGATTGGTCTAATTCAGATTACCAGGGCTGGCAAAGAGTGGGGTAATGCTGCCATCTTTCCACTCAATGAGTATCTCCCCATGCTGTAGGGATGAGGAAAGGGAGACGGGTAAATTGGGAGCTCCTGGGCCTCCTTGGCCTAGGGATAGCTGTCCCCTAGGAAGTAATGTGGCTCTTGGACCATTCTGGGAATAGTTCTCTAAAGCTGACAGAGCCTTCTTTTTCTTCTTCCTGCAGGTCAGGGAAGAGAACAAAGGAAATTGGTTATTCATCTGTGCCGGAGACTATAACCCTCTCTGGGCTCTGAGGACTGCTCTTCTCTCTATGTGTAATAGGACTATAGCTAATACATAGAAGCTATCATCTAATTCTACCCATTCTTTCTCATTTTACAGATAAAGAAACTGAGTCCTGGAGCAGTCAGCTGGCTTGCCCAAGATTACATAATTAGTAAATGGTAGAGCCAGGATTTGAATCCAGGGCCTCTGGTTCAAAATCTAGCACTTTTTCCATTGCTTCTCATTAGGGTGATGCATTCATCCTCACCTAGAGTGACAGAAATTTATAAGAATTTAGTTTGGAGAAAGCTGTGTCATATAGTAGGTTGTGAAATTGGTTGTTTAGTCCAGGGTTAAAATCTAACTTCTGTGCCCATACAGGCTTTGTGGCTTTGCGCAGTAGTAATAATAGCTAGCACTTACATAGTGCTTTAATATATAGAACCTTATATATATTTATATAGCACTTTACAAATATCTCATCCTCACAACAATCCTGGGAGGTAGAGGCTATTTTATACCCATTTTAAAGGATGAGGAAACTGAGGCTGAGAGAGGTTTAGTGTCTTGTCAAAGGTCACCTAATTGGTAAATGAGTTAGTATTTTTTTTTTTTTTGGTAAGGCAGTTAGGGTTAAGTGACTTGCCCAGAGTCACACAGCTAGTGAGTATTATGTGTCTGAGGCTGGCTTTGAACTGGGGTCCTCCTGATTCCAGGGCTGTTGCTGTATCCACTGCACCACCTAGCTGCCCCATGAGTCAGTATTTGAACTCAGATCTTCCTAGTTCTAGTCACAGCACTCTATCTTGTACCACTTAGTTCCCTGAGAAATTTGCCTAACCTTTCTAAGACTCAGTTTCTTCATCTATAAAATGGAGATAAAAATACCCGTAGCATCTACCTAGAAGGGTTGTTGAATGCATAAAATTAGGTGATCTGTGTAAAGTGTCTCAGCTGTAAGGTGTTATGTAAGAATTAGCTGTTTTTTTGGTCATGATTTTTCTGAGAGATGGGCCAGCTGGGAGCAGCCTCCAGAGAGGAAGGCCTTGGAGGGAGGGAGGCCCCCAAGCCATGTCTCCCTGTCCTTTCAGCAGCAGCTGAAACCCCACTGCTTTGGAAAGCCTCAAAGGCTGATTGCAGAAGAGCTCATCACTTCCCCGGCAGCTGCTGTCTCTGCTTGGAACCACTTCCTCCCCTCCAAATGGCCATGAGCCCTTGTGCACTCACTCCAAGTGGCCATGAGCCCTCCAGTTCCTCCATGCTGCCCTCCTCACTGATCATTCCTCCCTTCCTCACTAACAGTGCCCTTTCCAGGCCTCACCCTTCTTAATGCCTGGTGTCCGGTGCCCCATGCCTTCATGGTACTGCTCTGTGCTGGGGAATGCCTAACTAACAAGATGCTGGGAGGGACTTTATGGATTATCTAGCTGAATCCCATCATTTCACTAATGAGGAAACCAAGCCCCAGAAGAATAAAATAACTTACCCAGGATCACAAAGAATGTGTACGTTGGGTGGAGAAAGGTGCAAGCTGCATTGAAAACACACTTACCTATTGTAACAGATATTGATGATGAGGATGGTGACTCCCAGGACCACAGCCAATGGGCTTAGGACCATCATAGCTGTCTTCCAGTTTGCCCCTGAAATTGGAAGTCTATTAACAAATGTTGGGAAAGAGTGGATGAAGCCTTCCTGCTCCAGGGTTGACCCATGGCAAGAGTTCAAGGATGGCAAAGTATTCCTTTGACTCTTTAATCTTCCCTTGAAATGCCTTCTTCCCCTTTGTGGTAATCCAGAGCCCTCCTGCCCTTCCCCTGCCTCACAATCCCAGCATCACCAAAATTCACTGCCTCTGAGTTCTGATGGGATCATTCCCTCATCTCATCGGTCCTTGCTCTCAACACTCACAATGGAATTGGAAGAAATATAAGAAACTTGTTTTAAGTTCACACAGTAATGATGAATAATGTGTCTGTCGTTCCAGGGCATTTGTAGTTGCTGGAAGGATAATGCCTTAATCCAACAGAATGAAGCTCTAATAGTGGAATTCTTGGGAACTGGACACATCAGTTGGAAAGAAGTTTGGGGACTGGGAAGAGGGATTTCTTAGTGCCCGTCACATCAGTGCATATAACTTCCATTCACATATGCCCTTCACACCACACAGAGTGACGCTTCCTCCCACACCAAGAAAGAACAAACCCAGCTATTGAGTACAGCAGTCTTCATCTATCAGAGTACAGAAAAGCATGGAGGATCATTGTTTGCCTACGTTTGCTGAACCCGGCATGTAGTTCTCATCCACTCACATGGGCCAGACCCCTCCTATCAGGACCACCATCCTCTCTCCTAGGACAAACCTTGATAAAAGGGAGCGTCACCTGTTTGCTAGTAGAGGTTTTGTCCTCTGAAGTCTGCAGTCATAAAGACTCAGAGGATCAGAGATTTAGACCTGGAAGGGACCTTGTGGTTGTTTTTGTTGTTTATTCTTTCATTTGTGTTCAAGTCTTTGTGACCCCATGGACCGTGCTGTCCATGGGGTTTTGGCAAAGACACTGGAGTGGTTTGCCATCTCCTTCTCCAGTGGATTAAGGCAAACAGAAGTTAAGTGACTTGCCCCAGGGTCACACAGCTAGTGTCTGAATTCAGGTCATCCTGATTTCAAGAAGGGACCTTAGAGGTCATCTAGTCCAAATCCTTCATTTTACAGATAAGGAAACAGGTACAGAAAACTGAAAGGGACATTCTCATAATCACACCACTCCTAGCACTTTTTCCAGGGAACTACTTTTCATTCTGGGCAGCGAGGTGTTTCAGTGGATAGAGCGCTGGGCCTGGAGTCAGGAAGACTCATCTTTGTGAGTTTAGACCTGGCCTCAGACGCTTACTAGCTGTGTGACCCTGGGCAAGTCGCTTACCCCTATTTGCATCTGTTTCTTCATCAATAAAATAAGCTAGACAAAGAAATGGCAAACCACTCTAGTATCTTCACCAAGAAAACCCCAAATGGGGGCATGAAGACTCAGACACGACTGGGAAAACAACTGTACAACAAACTGTGGTGCAGAAAGGATCATAGGTTCCTAGGTTTAGACTTGGAAGGTACCTCTGAGGCCTCTCATTTTACAGATGATGAAACAGAGGTCCAGAGAAGTGAATGAATTGTTCAAGATCACAAGAGTAGTAAATGACAAAGGCATCATTTGAACTTGGATGATCTGACCCCAAAGCCAATACTCTCTGTACTACAAACCCTACGAGGTGCAGTGGATGTCTCTCCCAGCCCCACCTCAAGCTATTTCTCTGTGGGCAGAGGAGGCAGATCTGATCATCGTGCCATTTTTGTCTAAGAGTAGGAGCTTAACACGCTGCGTCTCAAATGAGTTCAGGAACTGAGCGACTTTACAAGCACTCTCCTAAGGCTCAGGATCATTGTCCAGCCCACCGTTTCCTTTGCCATGTGCTTCCAGTTTCATGGAGAGAGAAAGTCAGTCCCCTGTCACACTGATCATTAATAAGTTTGTCCTCTTATTAGGAGCAAGGTCGTAATGAGTTGCTGTCAAACTCAATTAGGTACAGTTCTATTAAGCAATCAATGATAACATTTGAAGTTTAATGAAATAGGTGTCAAATTTTACTTAAATGTTGATATTCCTTTAAATTGAGTATGATTCTGTTCATAAGTAGCAAATTAAGATGAATTCATTGTTATGCTTTATTATTTTAACAAAGGAGGTTTTTTTTCATAGAAAAAAATGTAATGGGGTGGAAGTCATATAACCACTGTGAATGAGCCCTATGCCTTTAACAGGTGGTCCCCATGTCTGAGATGAACTTTCTCCTCAAATTGACTTCTTCAAAACCCTGCCCATCAAAACACAGCTCAGGTGTCACTTTTTGTGTGAGGCCTTTTCTAATCTTCCCAGTTATTAGCTCTTACTCCCTCTTGAAATTACTTCATATTATTTTGTATTTGTTTATTTGGCAGCTAGGTGGTTCAGTGGAAAATGTTGGGCCTGGAGTCAGAAGACCTAAGTTCAAATCCAGCCTTAGACACTTACTAGCTATGTGACTGTGGGCAAGTCACTTAACCTCTGTTCACTTCAGCTTCCTTGTCTGTCAAACAGGAAAAATAATAGCACCTACCTTTCAGGGTACTTATGAGGATATAATGAGATAATATTTGAAAGTATTTTGCAAACATAAATGCTATTATTATTGTTTTACATGTATTGTATCCCCCTAGGAGAATGTTAATTCCTTGAGGGCAGGGACTGTTTAATTTTTGTCCTTGTAGCCTCAGTAACTATCATAGTGCCTTGTATATAGTAGGTCAGGGGTAGGGAACCTGCAGCCTCCAGGCCACATGTGGCCTTCTGGGTCCTTGCGTATGGCCCTTTGACTGAGTCCAAGTTTTACAGAACAAATCCTTTTATTAATGGGATTTGTTCTGTGAAGTTTGGATTCAATCAAAGGGCCACATTTGAGGGCCTAGAGGGCCACATGTGACCTCAAGCCTGCAGGTTCCCCACCCTTGTGTAGGTACTTAATAAATGTTTGTTGAACAGAATAGGATGGAACTGTGAGCTAACATGTGGCCTGGGCTTATCCATACTTATGGGAAGCCTAACTATTCGGATCACAGACATGGCTGGGTGTCATGACTAACCAAGGGGTGTGTGGAACTCATGAAATAGAAAGAAAGAAAGAAGGAAGGAAGGAAGGAAAGAAAGAAAAAGAAAAGAAGGAAGGAAAGGAAGGAAGGAAGGAAGAAAGGGCATCACACTGCATGGTATTATACTCTCTAGACCAAACAATTTAAATAAATGAAATCTAATAATAATGTATATCAGACACAGCCTTGACAGCCAAGGAGGGAGGTAGAAATGTTACTGGGGAGGGTGTGTTCTAAGAGACACTAGGAAGCTTGTGGGAGTTTAAAAAGGTTTTGGGGCAGCTGGGGGTGGAGGGGAGAGTCCACACAGTGATGGCAATTATAGTTTTATTGTGAGTATGGCTATGCTTCCCAATGCACTCTTGTCAAGTGATAAATTAAGGTGACATGAAGACAAGGTGACTAGAAGACACAAAAGGGAGAATTAGAGGAAGAGTTACAAAGGAACCACAGTGGAGAGTTTTGAAGGTGAAAAAGACAAAGACAGAATGGCTCCTTAAGCCATAGCAATTGCTCCTGTCACTGTAGATGCTAAATTATCTTCCTGTTAGAATATAAACTCCTTGAGAACAGAGATTATTTCATTCTTTGTATTTGTATCCTCAGTGCCTACTACAATGCCTGGCACGTAGTACAGGGCTAGTTGATTTATTGATGACTGTTGAGCCACATCCATGTGGGCACAACGAGCAGCTGTATACCTACATCCTGGATTTGTCCTGGGGTGGGGGTTGAGGGCAGCAATGCGGATGCTGAGCAAAACTTCAGATTAGCAAGGAGCAGCTGTGTACAAGGACAGAGAACTTGCGGTGGTCACTCATATGATAGGTCAGTGCCATACAGAGTCTGTCTGTAAAACCTGCACTGTTTTCAATAGAGAGATCAGAAGTGCTCCGAGTTCATGAGTCACCCCAAGAGACTGGACCCTGATGCTCTTGGAGATTTTTACCTAAGGGGAAAAGCCCTGGGGTACAGACCTTGGTAGCTGCATGGGAGCAGATGTGAGGGTAAATGAGGTTCTGGACTTTTTGACTTGACTATCAGGCAGGATCATGGCCTGAAGGGAGACACTCAGGCTGGTTGAATTAAGGTTGCCTACTTTATTCATTCCTCATTGATTCTGATTAATGTTTTGTACAACAAGCTTTGTAAGTAAATCGATGAATCATAGTCAGGTATCAGATGAAATGAGACCATTGGATGATGGCCGAACCAAGAATTCTGAGCCAAGGATAAATCTACACCCAGCCTTTAGACTGGGAAATGTTATGGCCCACAGAAGAAGAGCCAAGGGGAAAGAGGCACTAGCTCTCTGAGAGTGTGGGGGTTGTCTCACAAAGTACCCTCTGGCACTGGGTGCTGTGCAGACACACAGTAGGTAAGAATGAATGTTTGATAGCATCTGGTCCTTACTACTGAGTAAGTCTCATAATGTCTAAGGAGGCCCTAGCAGGTACATCTTTTTTGGGGGGGGGGGCTAGACGATGGAGTTAAGTGACTTGCCCAGGGTCACACAGCTAGTTAAGTGTCAAGTGTCTGAGGCTGGATTTGAATTTAGGTCCTCCTGACTCCAGGGCCAGTGCTCTATCCACTGCACCACTTAGCTGCCCCAGCTGTATCTTTTAATTGCAAGGTGCCTCCCTCATCCTCCTTTGTAAGCCTTGAAGCTCCCCAAAGAGCAGGGCATGAAGAGAACACTCTTATTTGCTCTACCCTAAGAAGTCACCACCTATCACCCGGTGACAGGTCCCTGAATTATCGGCCCTAAGTGCCAGGAGGAAATAAACAATCTCTTGACAAAGAAAACATTTAAAAATTTGACAAATGTCATATGCACACATAGAGATAATCATGTACCCAGACTTATGTAGATGCTTGCCTACCCTGTTGTCATTTGGGGCTAGCAGAACAATGGTTCTGTTTGCTTTTATCTCTGTGATATTTACTGGTCTGTATGGGAATTTAATCTGAGTCTTCCATTTCAGCATCTCGGCACTATGCTCCTTTAGTTACTGTGTACCAGCTGTCACAGCCTGAATTCATGCTCTAGAAAGGAAGGAGGAAGCACTACATGTCCCAGGGAAGGTTAGGATGCCTCTCCAGTTAGACACACCCAGGATACAATGATTCAGAAAGCAGTAAGTTTATCATATAAAGGTCCCAAAGTCACACAAACTACTCATGATCCGGGTTGTAGATGGGGCATGGAAACAGAACTACTCACCTTTTTCTGCCACCAGGGGTCCCTCCACCCACGTTGGGGAAGGTGTGTGGGTGAGGTTGCTAGTGGGAGTGACATTTGCTGTTTGTACAGAGTCCCACGAAGACAGGTCCTCCTCATTTCGTTCCAGAGAAACAGTGGTTTCAGCTGGGGAAGGGGACAGGTATAAGTGGTGGAGATTGTCACTATACATATACATACATATATACATATATAGTGTATATATACAAAATGTATATATAGTCACTATATATAAAGAATATATATAGTGACTATAAAGTATATATAGTGACTATATATAAAGTATATATATAGTTACTGTATATAAAGTACATATATATACATACACACTTTATATATACATATATATATATATATATACACACTTTATACAGGCATGTAGAATCATAGCTCAAAAACATCTCCTCGGGGGCAGCTAGGTGGCGCAGTGGATAGATCTCCGCCCTTAGAGTCAGGAGGACCTGAGTTCAAATCCGATCTCAGATACTTGACACTTACTAGCTATGTGACCCTGGGCAAGTCACTTAACCCCGATTGCCTTAGCAAAAAGAAAACAAAAAATAAAAAAAACACCTCCTGCAGGGAGTTTTAGGTCTCCTTTGGGGCTCTGCTCTTCTCCCACCCAGGCTCATTTCCCCATCCTTCTTATTTTGGAGATCTCACCGGCTCCCATGAATTCAAAGATCACTTCTTTGCAAATATCTACATATCCATTCCTGGTCTCTCACCTGACCTCCAGCCCAGATTCTGCAGCTGCCTACTGAACTTGAGTGTCCCATCAAGACCTCAAATGTCTACGGTTTTTTATTAAGACTTAATCACTGAAAAGGCACTGCCTCCGTCAAACTGAGACCTGTTAAAGACCTTAGCTTGAAAAGGCCGAGGTCCCCCACTGCATCCTGGGCCATCTCCAGTTGTCCTGATCCATATCTGGCCACTGGACCCAGATAGCTCCAGGGGAGAGAGTGAGGCTGGTAACTTTGCACAGCCCTCCTTCATTTAAATCCAATTCACTTGCATGTCATGGCATCGCCTCCCTGATGTCATGGTCCTGATGTCCATGGAACGAAGGACAAACAGCAAACAACCCCTGTGAGCAAATGTCCATATATCCATTCCTGGTCTCTTACCTGAGCTCCAGCCCTGATTCTGCAGCTGCAGCTGCCTGCTGAACCTCTTGGGTGTCCCACCAGGACCTCAAATTCAGCATGTCCAAGACTGAACTCAACCTCTTCACTCTCCCAAATGAAAAAAGAAAACTGGCCCTCCTCCCAGCTTCCATAATTCTATTGTTGATACTACTCCCCTGCATGCACTTCGACTCAAAACCTTAGTCATCGCTGACTCCCTCTTCCCCTCCAGTCAGATTCCAGGTTCATTCAATCCTACTTCCATCTTGTACAGGTCCCCTTCTGTCTCCTCACTTATCCTCACTTACTGCTTTTTGACTGGATGATTGTAATAGCATCTGATGACTATTCTCTCTGTCTCCAGTCTCTCCTTTCTAATCCATCCTTCACAACGCTGCTAACAATCCTCTTCCCAAGGCATAGGTATGACCATGCTAATTCCCTGCCCCAAAATCTTCATTGGCTCTCTCTTATCTACAGGCTAAAATGGAAAGTCACTAACCTGCTGTTTAAGGCCTTCTATGATCTGGCTAAGGCTACAAATTGGGATGAATTGCTCATCTGCATCAATGAAGAGAGTTTCTACTCCAGAAGTCCCCTACACTGATTAAGCCATAGATCTGAACTGTCAAAAAAGAGCTAGGCCATGGGAATGCAATGATGAACAACACCATTCCATTCTGCTCTTGCACTGTCAGAGGTCAGCTACAATGTCTAGAGAAGAATTTCTCCCTTCCAGAATTAGCCTGACCCCTGTCCCAGAGGGCTAGGGTGTCTCTGAAGGGTCCCCTCTCCAAGGGAAAATCCTGTTCCAAAGATGGCTTGCCCGTGCCACTGCTTTCTTGTTCCCAGGTTGTCTGGGAATTTTGCTGCTGGCACTTCCTGGAATGTTCTTCCTTCTGACCTCTGTCTCTTAGTTTCCTTCAAGACGAAGCTCAAATCCAACTGTCTGCAGGAGTGGAGACCTTTCTCAGTCCTATGAGATGCTAGCACCTTCCCTCTGAGATCACTTTCCATCTATTTTGCCTGTGTTGTATGTACCTAATTATTTGCATGTTGTCTCCTGAATCATAATGGAAGCACTTTGAGGCTTGGTACTGTGTTTTTGCCTTTCATTGTATCCCCAGCACTCAGCATTGTGCCTGGCACATAGTAAACGAATACTTTTTGATTGAATGAACTGAAGCACTTTTTCTTTTCATGCAGGAAGTGGGGTGAGTGGGGTGTGCTGTACCCTCTGTACTGCTCATACCCAGGCTGCCAGGACCCCACATGTTCCACAGAAGTAGCACCTTTCCACCAGGCTCTATCCCTACCTGCTCTTTATCCCAGAACTGACCCACTGGGGACCTAGAGTTTCCCTCCCTACTACTGGGCTGAGGTTCATGAGGCCTACCACCTTCCGCCATGTCAGTGCCCTGGGGCAAATCTCCAGTTGTCCACTCTTGCTTTGAAGAAGAAAAATGGAGAAAGGGAGAGAAAGATGAGGTGTGGGAGAGAGGAGAAGGCATGGACTTCTAATGGTGAATGGGAGGCCCCCAGAGCCATAGGTATGTGGAGAGAAGCTGGTACCCCAATATGGCCTTGGTTCCTAGCACCTGTACCCTCCCCCGTCCCCTCCAGACATGGCCAAGAGCGAGCTTCTTCAGTGAGGTCATTTTCTGGCTGGTAGAACTGAGATTTCAGTTTGCTCCCAGACCACAGAGCCTCCTGACTTACTGCCTTTTGAGTAGTAAGGGTTTTGTGGAAGGGAAGCTAAACTGGCTGAAATTAAGCTAACTGTTATTCTCCAGGTGTGGGGCAGGACTACTTCCCTCCCACATCCCAGCGTGACCTGGGAAAGTAGCTTTTATCCTGAACCCCTCAAAAAGAGGGATTCATTTGCATGCCCCCTGTACTGCAAATATCTGATGATCTTTTATTTTTTATTTTGATCTAATTCTAGCACAACACCCCTCTTGAAGATAGGGGAGGGAAGTAATGATTGCCCATTCATGGCTGTCCTCCAACTCTCCACAAAGTAGAAGTGGGGTAGGACATTCCAGATCTAGCTATATATGCATTCTACATGCAAATCACAAATGCAATCTATGTGCTTATATTGAACAGTCCATGTATTTAACCTATAGCATTTGGTCTTCATGACAACCCTGTGAGCTAGGTGATATTACCCCCATTTTATAGATGAAGAAACTGAGGCTCAGAGAGGTTATGCAACTTGCTTAGGGTCACATGGCTTGTAAGTTTCCAAGGCAGGATTTGAATTCAGGTCTTCCTGACTGCAGGTCTAGTGCTCTACCCATTCTGCCACCTAATGACTAAAAGAAAAACTTCATGCTTTGTTGTTATTTGTCCTTCATTCTTGACAGGGAGGTGATGCCATGACATGCGAGTGAAATGGATTTAAGTAAGGGAGGGGCTGTGCAAAGTCACCAGAGTCACTTTCTCCTCCAGAACCATCTGGGTCCAGTGGCCAGATACATATCAGGATGACCGGAAATGGCCCCAGATGCGGTGGAAGACCTTAGCCTTTTAAAATTAAGGTCTTTAGCAGGTCTTAGTTTGACTGAGGCAAAGCCCATTCAATGATTAAGGCTAGGTATTGTAATTTTCATGACAAGAAGTTTGACCCTGGAAAAGAGCCTCCTTCCCTTCCTTGAAGAGAATGGGGGAGCTAGGTTGCGTGTTCCATCAGTCTCAGATTGTAGATGAAATAGTTTTTGCTGAGCTGTTTTTTTTTCTTATCCTTTGTTACAAGGAATAACTTCAGGTACAGAAGGCAGGGGGAATACATTTGGAAAGGAATCACAGAATTTGAGAGTTGAAAGGGACGTAAAAGCAAAACATATCAATTTTTTAAAAGTCTTCATTTCAGGGATAACTACATTTAAATGAGGAGCTCTGAAACAGCAAAATGCCCCAAGACACAGAGAAATGAAGCTTTAGAATTTCAAAGCACAGTAACAGCTGGTTGAAGGTTTATTTGAGAGTAGGGAAGGTTTCCTAGTGGCCTTCAGATCACACAGTATAACCAGCTGCCCTGCTCCCCTAGTGCAAAGAGCCAGACCTATTTCCCATAATCTAGTAATTTTTTACTTCTATAGAATGCTCTCTATGAGGTACGCAGTGTAAGTATTTTTATTCTTATTTTACAGAAGAAGTAGCTGAGACTCCAAGCAATGAATTCATATGCTCAAAGTCACTTGGATGATTAGGGACCAAAACTAGTTAGTATGTCTAGAATTCTCTCTGTCCTCATAGCTTGGTTATCCTGGCTTCCTTCAAATCCCAAAGAAAATCCCATATCTTACAGGAAACCTTTCCCAATCTTCCTTAATTTCAGTGTCTTTCTTCTGTTGCTTCTCTTCTATTCATCCTGTAGAAATCTTGTTTGTACATAGTTGTTTACATGTCCTCTCCTCCATTAGATTGTGACAGTCCTTGACAGCAGAGACTATCTTTTGCTTTTCTTTGTATTCCCAGCACTTAGCAACATGACTGACACATAGTAAATTCTTGTTGACTTGACTCAACCCAGATCTTTTAACTCCCAGATAGAACGATGTCCTTTCCACCTCACCACGCTTCCACAAGAGCATGTCCGTTAGGTGGGTCTTACCATAACTCTCACCTCTATGTGCGATTGGCTCCTTCTCAGGACTCTTGTGCGTTCCCCCTGGCCCAGGGGTCCCAGAGCAGACATTGGCCATTCCAGGCACTGCCTTCCAACGACTGAACTTGTCCTTCCGACGAAGAACAAAGATTTCCTGGGCATTCAGCTTTCCGTGGAGGTGGAGACCAAGGCCCTGCAGGCTCAAGTGACCCTTACGGGAGCAACCCCAGGTCTGGTGGAGTTGGCCCCCACAGTGGCTCAATTGGGCCACAGCAAATTCCTGGGCCTCACCTATGGCAAGGCACCCAGGGATATGCAGGCTGAAAAGGGCTCGGTTGACTGGGTCCCAGCCCCATTGCTGGGGTCCAGCATCAGGGTGGCAAGTGACCAATGAGATCTGCTCCCCACCCTGAGGGTCCACCTGCAGGCATGCATCCAGCCCAGGATTGTGGATCAGAAAGGCCTCAGCCCAGGAACCTGCAGAGCAAGAGAAGAAAAAAAATGTGGGAGGCCTATTACTGTTTGGTAAGAATGAGAGTCCTAAAATGTGACTGGGGATGGGGGCATGAATAAACAGATAGATGGACTGATAGGTAGATGGTTAGAGGGCTGATGACCCTGAGATTTCAGTGTGTCCCTGTAAAGTTCAAGGTCCAGTTCAAGTCCTACGTCCTCCCTGACCAGCCCATAATGACTTATTTTTCCTTCTCGGACCTCCTAGAAAATCCATACAGCTCCTGACCATTGATACCAGTCTCCTTGGCTAGATCATATGCGTATTCAGGAAAGGGACCCTATCTTGTTCATCTTTGTGTGTCCCAACCCCCAGAGCCCAGGGCTCTCTATTCCATAAGTGGTTGTTGATAATGATATCCATTATGATCTAGACAGCTTGGTGGTGCAATGAATAGAGTGGAGGACCTAGAATTAGGAAAACCTGAGTTCAGATCCTGTCCTTAAATACTTACTAGCATATGACCCTGGGCAAGTCACTTAACCTCTGGCTTCCTGAGTTTCCTCATCTGCCAAAGGGAGTTAATAAAAGCATCTACCTGTCAGCATTGTTTTGACGAGAAAATAATATTTGTAAAGTGTTTTACAAACTTTAAAGCATCATATAAATGCCAACTACTACTACTTCTTCTTCCTCCTCCTCTTCCTCTCCTTCCTCCTTCTCCTCCTCCTTCTTCTTTTTCTCAAACATAGAGAGGCGCAGGCATGTTATCCACTACATGCCCACAGAGGCACTCATTTGTCCAAATTCACCTCCCCCTCTTCCCTAACATCCCTCTGGGCCCGTCACTGTCTCCTACATAGATATGATACCTACTTCCAATACCTTGGCTCTTTCTATAATGGCCTCTCTGCTCTTCTCAAGCTTTCCAAAGCCTATCTGTCCTTTAAGAGCCAGCTGCAGTTCTATTTCCTCCCAGAAGCCCTTTCTTCCTGTTCAATTCCACACTGATCTCTTTCTCCTCCGTCCTCCTCCAACACCCATTGTCCAATGTTTCTAGCCTCCCCCCTTGATTGTGTACTACTCCCTGATGGCAAAGACCAGAATGTCTCCCTCTCCTGAGGTCTCTTTTTCAAATGAAAACATACACGACTCTTTGCACATGGACACACACACACACAAACACGAGGTTGGAAATATTTTATGTTAGCACCTGTGCTCAGACACACACTCAGACACAAATATACATACATTTTGTATACTCTATCTCCTCTCCGTGCTTTTGCACTGGTTGCCCCCGTGCTTAGAATCCCTAGTTGGTCACCTTCACATATTAGAATCCTTGGTTTTCTTTCAGATTCATCTCAAATGCCACCTTCTCCATGGGGCCATTCCTGGTCTGTCCATCCCCCTCTCCCAGCCAGGTTATCTTTCATTTATTCTGTATGTATGTGCTTATTCATTTTCTTGTTGTCTCCTCCATTTGAATGTAAGCTCCTTGAGGGAAGAGACTGTTTTCACCTTTCTTTAAATCCCTAGTACCATAGTGTCTGGTCCATATGGTAAGTATTTATTAAATGCTTGTTGATCGATCGATCAACATGTATACTATAGGCACGAGCACATAATTGCAAGGCATGACATAGCTACACACACTCATGCACACGCTCACAGGGCTTGTGAGCTTTACTTTTCAGGAGAGAGGCCATAAAAGGAAACCCCAGAGCTCTTCAGTTTAAGTGGGGGGAGGAGGTTGAAATCAGAAGGGACATGTAGGGTCCTGCCAGCTCTATAGTTAAAAATAGGTCACTTCCCTGAGGACAGAGAGGAGCCTGGGGATGGGATATGAGGGCCAGGGATGGGGAGCGAGTGTCTGGACAATAGCAGGAAAGAGAGCAGCTTGAGTTTCCATTGGATTTTCCCTCTCCTGCTGATACCCAAGCGGAAATCTTGTTCAGAATGGTTTGCGCAGCTGTTCTCTTGGGGGGACAGTTTTAACATTTCCTTCAGACTCCTTGGACAAGAGCAGGGTGTGTGTGAGTGTTTGTGTGTGTGTGTGTTTGTGTGTGTGTGTGTGTGTGTCTGTACATGCGTGTCCAGTAGGTGAAGTGGAGGAGAGAGCAGATGTGTTCATGAGCAAGTGTATTTGTGGCCATATAGTATATGGGATTGTGTGTATTTGTGTGTATATGGGTGCGTATGTGCTCTGTGCTGAGTCCATATGACTGTCTACCTCTATGTGTGTCCACATATGCATGTTTGGATGTGGGTATCTGCATGTATCCTGTGGGTGTATTATAATTAACCTAGAGTCTGTTTCTGGAAGTGTCTAATTGAAAAAAAAAAACTTGTAGAATCTCCCATGTGAGGTTAGTTGAGGCTTAGGCAGCTGGGTGGCACAATGGGTAGAGTGGTAGACCTGTAGTGAAGAAGACTTGAGTTCAAATCCTGCCTGTCCTTCCACACATACTAGCTGTGTGACCTTAGACAAGGCACTTAACCTCTGTCTGCCTCAGTTTCCTCATCTGAAAAATGAACATGATAATAGCATCTACCTCCAAGGGTTGTCTGGGAGAATCATATGAAACAACATAAGTAAAACACTTTTCTAATTTTAAAGCACTATATAAATGCTAGCAATTATTACTTTTTCTAGATTATTAGAATGTAAACTCCTTGAGGGTAAGTATTGTCCTTTTTTTGTTTGTATCTCCAACACTCATTATAGTGCCTGGCATATAAAAAGCACTTAATAAATGTTTTATCTATTTATTTAAGCTGAGATTGGCAGGTAGAGGCTACGACTCAGAATCTCTATTCCGTTCTTCCATCCCAGGTCTTGGGTTGGGGGTTTCCTCTGTGAATGCCCTCTCTCCCAATTCCTGTGGCCATATGTTTGCTCCCTACCCCCCAGAAGCAGAGACCTGGATTCTCTGACTGATGCTGGCACTGACCCATTTTGGATAGAGCGACAGGTAAAGGAGTGGTTGGACATTAAAGGGTACAGGTGCAAGAGACCTTGTAGAGGGAGAATGGACAGGATTTGATGATGTCCCTACAATCTTGGCTCAAGACTTCAGCTAAAGGTTGAATCGGTGGGCAGTGGAGATTTCTGGCTTGTGCTGTGACTTCTGTCAGTCCCTGATATTGCTTGGTTTTCTTTGTTATGAGGGAGGATTTGATGGGAGTGGGAAAGAGTAGAGAGAAGGGAAATATAATGGGAAAAAGACTGAAAAATATGCATCAATAATTTTTTTCTAAAAGAAATCTCTGCCCCTCCCACCCACATGGCCTGATAGAATAAAGAACCTGTTAAATAGTAAATCAAAGAGATGATTAACTCAGGAGCTGGGCAGGACAATGAATAGCAAAGACAAGAAAGAGGGAATGGGGTAAGTCATTAAATCATAGTTTAGAGCAGGAAGGGACCTTAGAGGTCATCTGGTCTGACTGCTTCATTTCCCAGATGAAGAAACTGAGGCCCAGGGACATTAAATTACCTGCCCACCTTCCACAGGTTAAAAGTAGCAAAGCCTGAATTTAAGCTGGGTCATCTCACCCCTGATTTAGAGATCTTCTTCCTGGCCCACACTGACAGTTGGTGATTGAGAAACAAAAGAGTTCTCTGGGCCAAGATCTGGGTCTAGGACCTCAGACTAGGGATTTTTTTCTCCTAGGTCCTGGGGAGTAAGACTCTGGAATAGTTGGACCCACATCAGGAAAGGAAGTGGGGGAAGGTGGTGAGCTAGGCATAGAATTGATCAGTCTTCAGAGGCCTAAGAGAGCCCAGGCCAGGACCCAGCGCATCAGATCACACTGATGGAAGGGGAAGCTAAGCTGGGTGCTGCCCTCAAGTCATAAGGCCACAGGGCCCAAGAATTCTGGGCCAAGGCTCTATGGCCTGAAGTAGGACTCATTGAGCTGCCCATAGAATCCCCAGACCATTCTGCAGAATAGGAAAGTGAGGGCTAGCAGTCTGAGCACATCTCTCAGGAAGCCGGGCAAAGGTCCAGGGACACACAAGCCCTGGTTGTTTTCTCCCAGAATGATAGACCTTTCAGGTCAGGACCTCCCTCCATTTCCTGCCCTATTCTTCCCAAGTTGTCCCTTCAGATTTCCCCCATACCCACCCTCATACTTCTGTGGGCATCACCCTACTACCACAAAAGTTCCTCCTCTGCAATGACCTTGAGAGTTTAGACACCAGACGCTCCTCTTTTTCCTCCCCCTCAAGCCATGCCAGTCCCTCCCCTATCCCCAACAATAAAGGGAACTAATAATGAGGGTCTGTCATGTTCTCAGAGACTCCTAGGGGTCTTTCTCTAGTATTCCCTTTTTATCCCCCATCCCCATGTTCTCTCCATTCCAAGGAGAGAGACCAAACTCACCTAAGAACCAGAGGAGGAATCCCACCCAGGTCATCTGGGGTATAGGCCACTCCATCGAACTGATAAGGGGCAGGGAGATCGGATTGGGGGGAAATGCCCCCCTCTCCAGATGCTCCCCTCCCACTCTGGGTAAGGCCTGGGGTGGGAGGGGAGGCCAGGGAACCTGGGAGTCAGGGAGCTGGGGCGGTAGCTGGTTGAGCCAGTTCAGAAACTGTGACAGGAGAGGGAGGAGAGGGAAACGTTTAAGGAGGGGGCTAGAACAGGGAGGACGCCTGGGGGACCGGATAGGGGAGGAGTCAGAGAACAGTGAGAGCCAGAGAGGAAAAGAATAGAGGGAACAGGGAAGAAGAGGAAGAAGAAGGAAGATGAGCAAGACAAGGAAGCCAAGGAGGATGAGTGAGAAGGGAAAGAAAAGAAAGTAGAGAGGAGGGGAAGAGGAAGAAGAGAAAGAGGGAAAAAGCAGAAAAGAAAAGAGAGGAGAGGGGGAAAGGAGGTGGAGAAAGAAAAGGAGGGATAAAGGAAGAAGGAAAAGAGAGGAAGAGAAGCAGAAAGGATAGAGAGGAGAGGGGGAAAGGAGGTGGAGAAAGAAAAGGAGGGATAAAAGAAGAAGGAAGAGAGAGGAAGAAGAGAGGAAGAGAAAAGCAGAAAGGATAGAGAGGAGAAGGAGAACAGGAGGTGGAGGAAGAAAAGGAGGGATAAAGGAAGAAGGAAAAGAGAGGAAGAGAAAAGCAGAAAGGATAGAGAGGAGAGGGGGAAAGGAGGTGGAGAAAGAAAAGGAGGGATAAAAGAAGAAGGAAGAGAGAGGAAGAAGAGAGGAAGGAAAAAGCAGAAAGAATAGAGAGGAGAAGGAGAACAGGAGGTGGAGGAAGAAAAGGAGGAATAGAGGAAGAAGGAGGGAGGAGAAAGAGATTAAAGGATGAAGGAAAGGTGCTCTGGGGGTTGTGGCTTCCTCCTCTAGCATTCTATCCCTTAATTCTTTAATGATTTTATTTCAGATGTTTCAAATGGACCCCTCCTTCACAATGCTCCTGTCATAAGGATGCATATCTCCCCTCCCTCATCCAAAGTCCTATTAGAATGCTGAGAAAACTGAGGCTTAGGAAGGGGTATGATCTGCCAATACCAGATGGTAGTAGGTGGCAACCCCCAGTGTCTGGGACTGGAGACAGCTAATCTCTTGCCCCTCATTATCTCTGCCTTTCTCTTTCTCCAGAGTCACCCTTCCATGCCTCTATGCCTTGCTTTTATCATCATTATGTAGTAGAAATACTCTTGGACTACAGATGACAGGTAGAAAGGAAGCAGTGTAGTATATTCAGAAGATCACTATCCGTGGAGTGAGAGAATCTGGGTTCAAATCCTGCCTCTGATGCTGTGTGTGATCTTGGGCAAATAACCCCTCTGGACCTCAGTTTCCTCATCTGTAAAATGTGAGTGGTTGAGCTAGATAGCTCCCGAGGTCCCTTCTAGCTCTAAATCTATAATCTACTGAAAAAAAGTTACAAGGAAGCAGATTTCAGCTCAACATAAGGAAAAACTATTCAACAATGGAATGGGCCTGGCATGGGGGTGGGAAGGAAGTGAGTTCACTGAATTGGAGACCTTCCAGTGAAAGCTAGATGAGCCACTTGTCTGGATGGTCAGAGGCTCTTAGAAGGAGGATGTCCACTCTACATCTGCCATTCTTCCTGGTTTCAACTCTACTGAGCAAGATGCCCGGTCCAGGCTAAGCTCATCACCCCCAATCTCGTCACCATGCTGCTAACTCAAGTCTTGACTGACACCAATTCTCTCAGAGCCTCCCCTCCCCTCTCTGCCTGGATTGGAGGGTGGAGAGCTAAACTCCTCCCAAAGCCATCCTTTTTAAAAAATTTTAAAAATTTCTTTATTATTAATTTATTTTGATTGATCAACAATCACTTCCATATGCTTTTGAGTTTAAAATTTTTCTCCCCCTTGCTCCTCACCACCCTCCCCAAGACGGTGCACAATCTGATATAGGCTATACATATACATTCCTATTAAACATATTTTCACATTAGTGATGTTATAAGGAAGAATTAGAACCAATAGGAGGAACCACCAGAAAGAGGAAACAAAACTAAACAGAAGAGAAAAAAAAATAGCAAATAGTATGCTTCAATCTGCATTCAAATTCCATAGTTCTAGGGGCAGCTAGGTGACACAGTGGATAGAGCACCAGCCCTGAAGTCAGGAGGACCTGAGTTCAAATCCAGTCTCAGACCAAACACTTGACAACATACTAGCTGTGTGACCCTGGGCAAGTCACTTAACCCCAATTGCCTAAAAAACAAAACAAATTACATAGTTCTCTCTTTGGACGTGGATAGCATTTTCCATCACGAGGCCTTTGGAGATGTCTTAGATCCTTGTATTGCTGGGAAGGGTTAAGTTAATCAATATTAGTCATTGCACAACGTGGCTGTTATTGTGTGCAATGTTCTCTTGGTTCTGCTCACTTCACTCAGCATCAGATCATACAAGTCTTTCCAAGTTTTTCTGAAATCATCCTGTTCATCATTTCTTATAGTACAATAGTATTCCATTACATTCATATACCACAACTTGCTCAGTCATTCCCCAATTGATAGGCATCTTCTCAATTTCCAATTCTTTGCCACCACAAAAAGAGCTGCTATAAATATTTTTGTACATGTGGGTCCTTTTCCTATTTGTATAATCTCTTTGGGATATAGCCCTAGAAGTGCTATTGCTGGGTCAAAGGGTATGCAGCCCTTTTGGGCCCAATGCCATCCTTTATAGAGGGCTTTGACCCAGTCTACCCCACATCTGCTTCTCTGCCTGGTTTCAGCTCCAACAAACAAGGAGTATCCCAGGCCAGGTACCCCTGGTCTCCCCATCCTGTTTCTCTCCTTCCTCCTCCCCCTCTTCCTGCCTCCTTTTATGTCTCCCCACATTAGATTGTACACTCCTTGGGGGCAAGGACTGTCTTTATTAATTGTATTTCCAGTGCTTAGCACAGTGCTGGGTACATAGTAGGGGCTTAATAAATTTTTATTGGGATTATTGGATTGGATTAGGATTCATGTTGCAGGTAAGGGGTTGGAATAGATTGTCTTTAAGGTCCTTCCAAACTCATAGATCCTATGAGTCCAGGATTCAAAGGACCTGGGGTTGAGTCCTTACTACTACTTACTAACTATGTAACTTTGGGGAAATCACCACAGCTCTCTGACTTTCCATTTTCTCATTTATAAAATAGAGGTGATCATACCTTACACTACCTACCTCATTGGTTGTTTGGGAGGGAAGAGCCACATAAATTTTAAAGAGCTTTAGAAATGTGATTTGTTGTAATTACTAGACTAGAAGCTCTGTGAGGGCAGGAATCATGATTTATGCCAATCAATAAGCATTTAATGAGTAGGAACTCTGTAGGAACTCCTACTATGTACCAGCCACTGTACTAAGTTCCAAATACAAAGAAAGGCAAAAGACAGGTTCTGTTCCCAAGGAACTCACAGTCTAAGGGGGAAGACAACAGCAAACAACCATGTATGAGGAGGCTACATACAGGATAAATTGGAGACAATCAACAAAGGTAAGGTACTAGAATTAAGGAGGACAGGGAAAGGCTTCTTACAGAAGGTAGGATTTTAGATAGGACTTGTAGGAGGCCAGGGAAGCTGGGAGGCAGAGGTGAGGAGGGAGAGCAGTCCAGGCATGTGGGACCGTGAGGGGAAATGCATAGTCAGGAGGGAGAGAGTGTCATGCAAGGAGCAGCCAGGAGGCTACTGAGGTGTAAGAAGACTGGAAAGGTAAGAGAGGGCCAGGATGTGAAAGTCTTTGAATGCCAAACAGAGGATTTTCTATTTGATCCTGGAGGTAGGTGACAGGGAAACGCTGCAGTTTATGGAATGGGGGAGAGGATGACATGGTTAGACTTTAGGAAGATTAATTTGACAGCTGAGTGGAGGCTAGACTAGAGTAGGAAGGGACTTCAGGCAGCAGGCTATTGAAATAATCCAGGTGTGAGGTGATGAGGGCCTGCACCAGAGCGGTAGCATTGTCAGAGAAGAGAAGATGACGTATCTGAGAGATGCAACAAAGGTAAAATTGACGGGACTTGGCGACATATTGGATAGAGGAGGTGAGAGAGAGTGAAAAACCAAAAATAACACGTAAGTTGCAAGCCTGGGTGACCAGAAGGATGGTGATGCCCTCAAAAATAATAGGGAAGTTCGGGGCAGTTAGGTGGTGCGGTAGATAGAGCACTGGCCCTGGAATCAAGAGGACCTGAGTTCAAATCTGACCTCAGACACTTACTAGCTGTGACCCTGGGCAAGTCATTTAACCCTGATTGCTTTAAGAAAAAAAAAAAGTAATAGGGAAGTTTGGAAGGAGAGAGGATTTTGTGGAAAAGGTGAGTTTAGTTTTGGACATAATGAGTTTAAGAGTTCTACTGGACATGGAGTTTGAGATGTTCAATAGGCAGAGATGCAAGTTTGGAAGTTAGAGTGGTTAGGACTGCATAAATAGATCTAAGAAACATCAGCATAGAGACGATAATTAAATCCATTGGGGGCTGATGAGATCATCAGGTGAAAAATATAGAGATTGTTGTTATTCATCCTTTGTTCTTGAAGAGGACCATATCACCTTCCTGATATAATTGGAAATAATATATATAGAGAGAAGAGAAAAAGGCCCAGGACAGTCCTGTGGGACACTCACGGTCAGCAGGTATGAGTGATCAGATTAAGATCCAGAAAGGAAAAAAACATGGAAAGACTTGTATGGTCTGATGCTGAGTGAAGTGAGCAGAACCAAGAGAATGTTGTACATAATAACAGCCACGTTGTGTGATGACTAATATTGATAAACTTAACCCTTCCCGGCAATACAAAGATCTAAGACATCTCCAAAGGCCTTGTGATGGAAAATGCTATCCACACCCAAAGAAAGAACTATGGAAGCCGAGTTGCTAATTTTTTTCTCTTCTGTTAAGTTTTGTTTCCTCTTTCTGATGGTTCTTCCTATTGGTTTTAATTTTTACTTACAACATCACCAATGTGAAAATATGTTTAGTATGAATGTAAATGTATAGCCTATATCAGATTGTGCGCCATCTTGGGGAGGGTGGCGGGGGGCAAGGGGGAGAAAAATTTTAATCTCAAAAGCACGTGAAAGTGATTATTGGTAAATCAAAATAAATTAATAAAAAAAATTTTTTAAAAAGATCCAGCAAAGGAGAAGAGAAGGAGCAGTTAGATAGGTAGGAGGAGAATCAGGCTAGGGTAGTGTCAAGGAAATCTAAAGAAAAGAGGCTATCAAGGAGAAGAGGGTGATGGGAAGTGTTCAAAAGGCTGCAAAGAGGCAAAGAAGGATGAGGATTGAAAAAGTCCACTTGATCTGGCAGTTAAAAGATCCTTGGTAACTTTGGAAAGAGAAGTTTCTGTTGAATGACATGGCTGGAATCCAGACTGAGTTAAGAAGAAAGCCAGCAGAATGGAGGCAACTATTGTAGATGGATTTCTGGAGAAGTTTAGCTCTCTATAGGGAGAAGAGAAATGAAATGACAGCTAGTGGAAATGGATGCACCAAGTGAGGGTTTTGGAAGAGACACAGGCATCTTTGTAGGCAGTAAAGAAGCAGCCAGTGGACATGGAGCGATTGAATATTAGTGAGACGGTTATGGGTGATGGAGGGGGTAATCTGCTGGAGAAGATGGGATGGAATGGGATCACTTGTATGTGGAGAAGGATTTGCCTTGGGAAGGAGAAGAGCCACATCTTCATGCAAGACAGAGTTGACGGAGGAAATAGTGGCAGAAGGCATGCATTTTAGAAATGTTTTTTGAATGTATGTATATATGTATGTATGTATGAATGAATAAACAAACAAACAGATGCTCTATATACTCCTATATTCCGTCTACTAGACAGCTAATTCCTCTAAGCATCTTATGTAGGTTTCAATTCTCTAAGACAGGCTCTTTTGTTTAGGCAATTGGGGTTAAGTGACTTGCCCAGGGTCACATAGCTAGTGTCAAGTGTTTGGTCTGAGGCCAAATTTGAACTCAGGTCCTCCCGACTTCAGGGCCAGTGCTCTATCCACTGTGCCATCTAGCTGCCCCTAGACAGGCTCTTCTACCCCTTGGCCGCCCTTCATAGTGTCTAGCCCAGGGTCCTTCCCTTAGTAGGTCTTCAGGAAGTATTTGTTGATGATTAAGATGTATTCTCTGGTGGCTCCAAGGGTTGGGATATCAATGCTATGTCTCTCTAGCACCACCTGGTGGTCTGCAGTCAGGATGTTTCTGTTGGTTTGATTATAAGCAAATCGATTATAAGGAAAATCATAGCTAGAAGGGACCGGAGAGGTCAAGTAGTCTCTTAATTTTACAAATGAAGGAATGGAAGCTCAGAGAGATTGAGTAGCTTGCCTAACTAGAGTCATATAGATAAGAAGCAGAGTGGGGATTTGGACCCAGGGTTTCTGACTTATAACTACTTCAAGACTCCAATTTCAACCCTTTGCACTATCACACTCTTTAGACTTACCAAAGATACTGTCAAGGGTTTGATTGTTTTACAAAAGCAATTCCTCAGTTTACCCCCAACTTTTAAAAATAAGATTTTTAAGCCATAAAGTAGAAAGAATTCAGGCTAAGAGGATCAGATTTTCATCACATTTCTGTTATTCATTAAGGATCACAGATTTAGAGCTGGAAGGAACATTAGAGATCATTAGTCCAGTCTCACCATTTTATAGGTTATATAACTGAGGCACACAGAGATAGTGACTAGGAAGTCACGCCAATAGTAAGCGGTAGACTTAAGATTCAAACTCAGGTCTTCTGATTTCAGATCTAGCAGTCTCCTAACTGTCTTTAGTTACTGAGTGACTGAGTGACTTCAGGCAAGTCACTTAAACACTCTGTGTCTCACCTTCCTCCTCTGTAAACTGGAATATGCCCTTTGTCCTATATACCTGCTGAATACAAAGAGCAGTGATTAATAATTATCATTGCTATTAGAGACAAAATCTTCTGGTCACTTAAAACTGAATGTCTTTAGAAACATTTGCTCTGTATACACCACTCTCAGGATTTCCCATATTCTAAACTTTAAGCTCTGTGAAGGCAGGTATTGTGCTGCCCTCATCTTTGTATCCTGCACAGGACTCTGTGCATAGTAGGAATCTCAGCATATTAGAACTGGAAGGGATCTTAGAGTCATCTTACCCAATTCTCCCTGCAGAGATTCAGGCCCCAGGTCACACAGCTGGCAAAGCCATGACTAGAACCTAGGTCTGCTGACTACCCATCCAGTGCCCCTTCTAGTACACCAAGATGTCTCCCAAATATTAGGTCAATGAATGCCTGTATAAAGGAATGAGTACATTGTTTGTGCAAAGTGAGGGGCACCATGACAGATTGGTATTATTGGACCCACTTTGAGTAGGCAGCTCCAGCTTTGGGGTATGGAATTGGGAAGAAGATCATATCCTCAGGGGTTATCTCAGACTCTAGGTTTGACAGGAGATGGGGTAGAAGGAATAAGAGATACTGTTTCTTCACTCTTTCATAGTTCGCCTTCTTCTCTAGGCCAAGTTAGGTTCATTTGATCTCTCCTTTCACATTCATATGGGCATTCTGACCTCTAATCTTTGTTCCCTCTGTCTTCCTTCATGTAGCATTATACTTTAAAAAAAATAATATTTTATTCCCCCCCACCCAATTACATGTAAAAATAATTTTTAACATGTGTTTTTTTTTAAGTTTTAAGTTCCAAATTCCATCCCTTCCTCCTTTCACTCTTCCTGACTTGGTAAGTGATGTGATATAGGTTATACATGTGCGGTCATGTAAAACATTTCCATATTAGTCATTTTGTGTAAGAAGACTCAAAAAGAAGGAAAGAAAGGAAGAGAGAGAGAGAGAAAGTGAAAAATAGCATGCTTCAGTCTGTATTTAGACAACATCAGTTCTTTCTCTGGATGTGGATAGCATTTTTCATCATGAGTCCTTTGGGATTGTCTTAGATCATTGTATTACTGAGAATAGCCAAGTCATTTAAAATTCTTCATCATACAATATTGCTGTTACTATGTACAATGTTCTCCTTGTTCTGCTCACTTCACTTAGTATCAGTTCATGCATGTCTTTCTGAGTTTTTCTGAAATCATCCTGCTAGTCATTTCTTTCTTTCTTTTTCTTAATAATATGAATTTGGTCATTTACTCTTACACACAAAATGAATGCTAAATACAGGGCACTCACAAGCACATAATTAAGAAAAACAAACCTAGAACAGAATTTGGTAACAAAACTACTGTTAAAATCTGCTCTAAGGCTGATGGTTAAATCTCAGCAGAACTTATGTTAGTTTGTGGGATTGCTGATTAAGCAGTTCTCATTTCTCCTCAGCTCTGCCCTGTCACCACACCCCCTCTGAACATAGAGCTCAGCTATTCCACAGTCATGTTGCTCCTGAATTCACCACAACCAAGCACTCTTGCATCTGCTACAATCAACATCTTCTTCCGCTAGATCCAGATTCTCTGGACCTCTCGAACTCACTAGGTCATTACTTTCCCCCCCCCTCTTTTCCATATCTTTTAAAAAATTTTTTTGTTACATTTTGAGTTCTGAGTTGTTTCTCCCTACCTCCCTTCCAACACCACACTAGAGAAGGCAAACATTTAATGTAGATATATGTGGAATTATGCAATACAATACGTACTTCCATACATCAGTTCTTTTTCTGGAGGTGGATAGCATTTTCCTTTATAAGTCCTTTGTAGTTGATTTGAAAGATCATATTACTCAGAACAGCTTACTCATTCACAATTACTCTCCAAACGATTTTGCTGCCACCGTACTCAACATTCCCCTGGTTCTGTGCATTTCACTCTGCATTATTTCATGCAAATCTTTCCATATTTTTCTAAAACCAACCTGCTCGTCATTTCTTACAGCACAATAGCATTACATCACTAAGTCACTTCTAAGCCTGGGCATATCCACCTTCTACCTTGCAGCAGATATTCAATGATCTACTTAGGAAAGAAAACAAAGAGGAAAAGGCATCCAGGGGCCTCATTGTAAGGTCATCTAGTTGAGTCTGTGCTCCACATGAGAGCAACTGATCGTCATTTCTTAAAGTACAATAATATTCCATTATAATCGTATACCACAATTTGTTCAGCCATTCCCCAATTGATGGGTGTCCCCCCCAATTTAGCACTGTACTTTAAAAAATTAACTCTGTCTTTATTGTAACCAGTGATTGTATATCCACAGTGATAGATATAATTGTAGCTTAATTGCACATCACAAAACCATAATGCTAAGCTCTCACTGAGGGCAAAAAAAAACCCCCCAAACCCTGTAAATTTACTTTACCAAATGCATTCTTAACCTGGTTCTATGAATATGGGCTCCCTATTGTGAATGACATACTGTCACTGCTTTGACCATCATGAAAACCCAAGCTACACCTGGCTGTTCTGTCAGTTCACATCCTCCTCTCCCACCTCCAGACATCCAAGTTCTACTCATTCTTCAAGGCCAAGTTTAACTCTAATCCCCTCTAAGAAGCCGATCTGGACCACTTCTAGCCCATATTATTCTCTCCCGTCTCTGAACTCTGGTCTCTTTTGATCATGGGTTGTCCTGTGTTCTTTTCTGTTCCATATGTGTGCCTTATCTCTGTGACTAAACTATGAGGTACTCACTTTCCTCCACTGGACCCAGAAGTCCAGATCCCCAAAGTGTGAGATGATTCATGAATGGGAAGACATCCTAGGTATAGGGCCCCCAACCTCTGTTATCTCAACTGAAGAGGATAGGGGTAGCTGGAGGAAGGCAGAGGCAGATTTCCATATTTCCTCCCATGTGAGGGGAAAGATACAGAATAGAGCTAAAGGGAGTTCAAGGAGAAGAGACTGTCTAACAGAAAGAACACAACTAGTTTGGGAGTCAGGAGAACTGGATTATAAGTCACTTCCCTTCTTTGGGATTCATTTTTCTCATGTGAAGAGTAAAACATTTACCCTGGAAAATGCTCAATGATCCCTAATGTCCCCTCTAACTCTTAGATTGGCCCCTTCTCCCCCACTAGAAATGTTATCTTCCATAAAGCAGATGGAACATGTAGTGTAGTCTCAGAGTATTTCTACCAGCTACACTCAGAGGCCATGAAAGGGTTATAGGAGGAGCATCCCATTCTATGCCCTCCTCACCACCAAGCAGGCTCTCTTCTTTAAGGCAGCCCAAACCAAACACCAGTGGAACTTCAAAGTCCAGGAAAGCCACCCCCACCCATTACCCTAACTTTGAAGGACAGCTTTGTTTAGCCTTGGAGAAAAGACATCTATTGTGTGTATTACTATGTAGACTTTTTGTATAGGCATGTACACACATATGTATACACACACATGTGTATATAATATGTATACATACGTGTATATATGTATACACATAGAGGTTACATATATAGGTGTACATACACATATTTACTGAGATTATATTCACACACATTTCTGCATCTGTATGAGAGAGTTGGGTTAGACAGCTCCTCCCCACCCCTCCCTGCCCTGGTGTCTACTTGCTCATGTATGCCAATACATTTATTTGTGCCTGAGGGTACATTACTGTGCCAGG